TATATTATTTATCCATTCATCAATGGATACTTAGGCTGTTTCTGTGTCTTAGCTGTTTATCTTATTTGATTTTTTTGCACCCTCTTTTCTCTTGGTGACTCTAGCTTAAGGTTTGCTAGTTGTGTTTCTTCTCAACGAACTAACTTTTATTTTCATTATTCCAGTGTCTTTTGGTCTCTTATTTCTGCTTTGATCTTTCCTCACCATTCTAATATTAGGCTGCATTTGTATATCATTGCTTGAGGTATAATATAAAGGCATTTTTTCTTATTTGCTTTTTTGGGTCACACCCAGCAATGCACAGGGGTTACTCCTGGGTCTGCACTAAGGAAATACTCCTGGAGGTGTTCAGGGGACCATATGGGATCCTGGGAATTGAACCCGGGTCAGCTGCATGCAAGGCAAACACCCTACCTGCTGTGCTATCGCTCCAACCCCTGCAAGATTTTTCTCTTGTTTCAGTCTGGAGCGATAGTACAGGGGTAAAGTTCTTGTCTTGTATATGATCCACCCCAATATGATCCTTAGCACCACATGTGGTCTCCTGAGCACGACCAAGTGTGCCCTAAAACCCCCAGTACTCCTTTGAGGGTAGATACCTCAAAGGGTTTTCATATATGCTTTGCATGGAGGAGGTATGCTTGGTTTAGATCCCCAGCAGCACATAATCCCTGGAGCAACATGGGCATCAACTCCCAAGCTGGAAGTAGCCTCTGAGCACTAACGAGTGGCTCAAAACCAAAAGTGATAAAAAAAAAGTTGCATATGAACATAATGATATACTACTCATCCATATTAAAAAATAAATCCTGCCATTTGCAACAGTCTGATGGACCTAGAGGGGATTATGCTTAGTGAAATAAGTCAGATGGCTAACCACAAATATTGTATAATTTAATTCATATATGGTAAGGGGAAAAGGAAATTAAATAAAACTCTTTTTAGGCTAAAACCACTTAATGATTACCAGAAGGGCAGTTGGGTGGGTAAATAGAATTAGAGGAGTCAATTGAAGGATAAAACTGAATTTTCGGTGACTGGAGCAATAGTACAGCGGGTACAGTGCTTACCTTGCATGTGGGTTCAATCCCTGGCACCTTGTATAGCCCCCACATCACGCAAGAAGTGATTCCTGAGTACAATAGGTGAGGCCCCTCAAAAATGAATTTTTAATGCTGAACTTAATGCAGAGAGCTATCTTATAATGAGGCTTATCATGAAATGTTATATCAATTAAAAAATTTTTTTTAAAACTTCCTTGAATAAATTTGTCTTTCAGAGACATATGCTCCAAAAAGAAGTCTTATCATGCCTTTATTGTAATGGCGTCACCTTGTAATTATTCAATTATAAGTTGTCTTCTGGCTTTGATTGTTTGATTTGTTTGGGGGCCATACCCAGCAGTGCTAAGAGCTTACTCCTGACTCTGTGTTCAGGGATCACCCCGGATGGATGAGGGATTGAACCTTCTGGTTATGAGTGAATGCTAGTCAAAATAATCAAGTGAGTAGATTAACAGAGTGGTAAGGGATGAGATTGAAAAAAATAACATCTTGGGCTCTGATAATCCACCTATCATCCTGAGTATATGTACACAGATATTCTATTATAGCAACCGGGAAATAATTGTTTCAAATTCTCAAAAGCAACTGCATCAGTCAACTGTCAGAATAGTCCCTAATTGCCCCCACTTCTGATATTAACATCTGTAGCAGTGTCCCATCATATACACAAAGGTCAATCCGTGTGACCAATAGACTATGGTAGAAATGTCACTCCTGATCTAAGGTCACGCAGGACTGTAATGCTTATTTTGGTCACCATTCTAAAGGAAGTCAGATGCCATGATGTGAGAACACTTGGGCAGCATTGTGGCAAGAAACTGAGACACCCAGTCAACATTACATGAGTATGGAAGAAGATTCTTCAGTTCCGGGTAACTATGTACAACTCCAGCTGACATCTTGACTGCAGTTTTCTAAGGAACCCTGTCATAACCATCCGGTTAAATTGTTTCCTGATTCCCAATACATGAGATAATAATAATTTACTGTCTTAAATCACTACATTTGGGGGTAATTTGTTACATGCCAATACATAAAAGTATAACCATGGGCACCATGATTACTGCTTGCTTAGGAAGACAGTCCCTGTCTTGAAGCACCATTTTGGCAATTGTCTATGAAACACCTTTACAAGGGGTTGTGGCATACCCTGGTGAAAGGGGAGTGAAGCAGAGTGACAAATCCTCTGGAAATTACTGTTATAAAGAATACAGTTCTGGCTGGCAGAAAGAGCTTGGATCTCTTTCTAGTATCTCTAACCCCTAGGAGTTCATGGGAAATTTTTGTAATTTTTCTAGAGCTTTGTTGTCTTTATGTATAACCCAGCTATAGTACTACCTTCTCTAATGGTTACAACAAGTAGCATAGACATGGAAGAAGATTTTTAACTTGCCACACAGTTTTCTAGACATTATCACCTGTGTCCTCCACTTGGAGATGGAGTCTAAGCATTTTGATTTTATATTATAGTTCTTAATATAAAACATGAGGTTACTTGGGGAGACTTAAAGGCTCTAAAAACCCTTAAGAGTAAACACAATTATTCCCTGGGGCTAGAGGGCAACAGAAATGTGTGTCAGGTTAGGGGAGGTACAGCATGAACTCAGCAAAGTAGAGAGTTGACCACAAAAGAAATCCAAGGACCAAGAAAATCAAGTCTGCCTACTAAATCTGATACAGCAAATACCAGGTTGTCATCAAACTCTGAAACCCAGTACCACGAGTCACAAAAGGCATATGTCAATATTGGTCCGTATCACAATAATGGTACCAATGCAGATAAGGAGAGTTTGGTCCTCAATATTACCTTTTCAGATGCAGAGAGATCCTGTGAATAGATCCTCATCATCAATGTTCAATACAGAAAAATGTTTCTGGAATACCCACCATAAGTAACATTTTATGCTATGTACCCGATGCCGCTATACCAAATTCTGTACCTTAAATCCTTCTATTTTGTGCCTTTCCAAGTTTAGGTTATTTGTATCACTACTGTATTTGCAGGTAATGCAGATCCTCTATTTTAAGAAATGAGTTCCAGTTCCAATTCCACAAATAAAGAATTATTATAATAATAGCATATTCATGAAAAGCAAATTACTTATCTTGGCGTTTAACATCCTTGTAACTATTCCTGTACTTTTAATGTCAACAGAAAAAAAGTAATGTCTAAGTCTGGCTGATATGGTAAATTAATGTTAATAACAGTTTTGACACTAATAGCAAGTTTTAAAAAGAAAACCCTCCAGTCTCTAAGCTGGGTTTCATTTCTTAAAAACCACCTCAGCTCTGTCACCACACTCCCCTAGAACAATTCCAGTTCCCATTTCGCTTTCACAGGGAGCCTGAAACTGGATTTATGAAGTTTCTATGAAATTATATTCTGTCCTTGCCTTTGCTCAGTTCAGGCGAAGAAAACATCCTCCTACCCCTGATTACAAATTCAGGGCTTCTCAGCAGACATCCTTCTGAATTCCTATAAACAAAAGCATTCCTAGTTGGAATCACTTAAAAATTACCAGCTATTTCTTCAGAGACTGAAAAATATCTGTGAAGATGTGAACTATTCAAATGCACAGTAGATTAATGGGAAATTTCAGGTTTTGCATTATAGTGATCACGGGAGCGTAAAGAACAGGGTCTGAGTTCCATCTTCACGTTCTTCCCCAGTACTGTGCATAGACAAAGACTTGTCATGGACAAATAAATGTTCCATGAATTAAACTAACCTGAAACTTTTTAGCATACCAAGGGAAAAAAGAAAAGGAACTTAGCCCTTGACTCCACAACTTGTTTTAGAAGATATGGAGGGTGTAAGTTGATCCTTGCAAATATTCCACCCTTCTTAGACTCAGCCACTAGCCAATGGTCACTCTACACCACCCATCTCTATAATGTTTTAAAGGCTGCCTGGCTTTAAGCAAAGCATCTCTTCCAACTTCTCAACTGTTCTTTTTCCATTAGTAATTGAGTGTTTTACTTTTAGATAATCCTATAATGAACCAACTCAAATGAACAGAGAAGCAGCAGTGACAACCCATCAATAAAATAATTAAGTTGAAGTGGATTTTGTTAGAGACTTCTTATGTCATAATAGTAAGTCTAGGCTACTTAAAATCAGGGAAATCAAGTGGAATCATTTCTTTTTGTCTTAAAAGGAAAGTTAGTTTTAAAAGTATCTCATAGAATCCCCATCAACTCTTCTGACAATCTTCTGCAAGCATGTGTAAAATGGAAATGCCAATGAGGTACAAGAATATTCTGGTTGCCACAATATTCTTTTCTCTTTCCACAGCTACCACTCTAAGTTGTCTGAAAAATTAGGTAAGAAGATTCTCTGCATTTTCTCTTGACTTAAGATTTAGATCACAATCTAAATCTCTTAAGACTTTGTGCCTTATCATAACACTTTCATGCCACGGAAAAACAAGGGAAAATCAAAGCATGAGGGACACAAATGCAGGGCAATTCTACCTCTTGTTAGAATTGTCTTCTAACCAAAGAGAAGAGGAATCCTTACAAGAAAGGTGACAAAGTATCTGCATTTCTTTCGCATCCTCTAAGAGACCAGTGTCCTACCACTAACTCACTTCACAATTACCCCCACCCACACAAGTTTTGCATAATCTTCAACTATGGTATGTGGTTAAGTAACAGAACTGACCTCTGCAGTAATGTCTAATTTAACAATTACCAAATCACTTCAAGCTTTAGATAAGACAGAGGTCAGAGCTGGTTTCAGGTCTATTGGGTACCAGGTTGAAGAGGTAAAGCAGAAGTCATCTAAGAAAATGACAGGGACTTGAAGTCACTTTGGCTAATTATCAAAGTGAAGGCCACATATTAGATTGATTTTAAGGAACACGGGGATACCTTTGAATGGTTTCATAAAAAGAATAAATTGAAAATACCCTTCATGTAAAAATAATTACATACCCATGCTCCATCCGGCCCAAACAGTTCTAGGAAGTTGCCAATAAATTCTCTTGATTTTTCTTCCCATTTCTGAATAAGATCATGACTTTTCTCTTCCACTCTATTAACAAATTCCTTTGATCTTTCTTCTACATTCTTGACCTTTTCCTTCATTTTATCTACCTGGTTTTGGAAACGATACTTCTTCTCCTGTTCAAAAAATTAAAGAAAGAAAAAAATGAGTTTATTCAGGAAAGTATTTGAAAGATACACCATTCATACTAATGATCATAATTTTAATTTTTTTAAAGAAGGGAAGTCCCCAACTATGTTCAGCAATTCTTGGCCAACTAGGCTGATGGTTCAATTCAAGAGCCTATAGATGCAGTCCTGTTTGGGCCCTGTGGTGCCAGAGATTACCTGGGTCACTTCAGTGATGCTCAGGGTTCTCCAGGGCTATAGCTGGTGATTCTTGGGGTCCATATAGTTCCAGGGAGTGAACCCAGATTGACTGTGCTGCTGTGTTTACTCCTGGATCTTTGTATTTTATTTCAATTAGTATTTGTTCCTAACCTGAAGAGTACAGACATTACTATCTGTAATCTGTAAAGGGCAAGATGAACAGGAAGCTACATCTTGTAAGAAAAGTTATTTGTCATTAGTCTGTTTGGAGATATAAAGGGAAATTTAGCACTTAATTTATTTTGGTTTTGGGGCCCCACACTGGGGTGCCCAGGACTCCCTCCTGGCTCTATGCTCAGGGATCATTGCTGAAAGGTTCAGGGGGACCATAGCCGGGGATTGAACCCAGGTTGGCTGTGTGCAATGCAAACACCCTATCTGCTGTACTATCTCTTCAGTCTCAGTCATGGTCCTCCCATTGTTCATCGATTTGCTCAAGCGGGCCCAGTAACGTCTCCATCGTGAGACTTGTTGTTACTGTGTTTGGCATATCGAATACATCATAGGTAGCTTGCCAGGTTCTGCTGTGCAGGCGAGATACTCTCAGTAGCTTGCCGGGCTCTCTGAGAGGGGCGGAGGAATTGAACTCGGGTCGGCCATGTTGGCCGCTTGTAAGGCAACACCCTACCGCTGTGCTATCGCTCAACGGGTAGGGCGTTTGCCTTGCACGTGGCCGACCCAGCCTCAGTCAAATGGTTTTAATATTCTCCTTTAAAAGGGTTGAATTTTGTTATAAAAGAGGAATGAAAATTATGTGCTTAATATGGACACATATTGAACAAATATGCCCTATCAATTCTGCTAGAACTTAGACAAAAGCTTGAATTGTACACTGAATGGCAACTCAAAGGCAGTCTGAGTTCATTGCATCATTATTAAGAAAAGCAGTGCTTGAAATAAATGGGTCATTGTTTGGGTCTTAGAACCTATGCAATGTATTAAAATTTTTATTATATTACAATTTTTTAATTAAGCTAACTGAACTGTCTGGTTTTCTTAGTAATGAAGAAAACTATTATTTGAGCAGTTTCTCTGGACTGGTATTTTGTTCTTACAGCCATTAAGCAGCAATGCCTTCCAGTTGATTTTTTATCTTTGTACCTGGAAGGTATCATGTGTTAGGCAAAGAGGTTACCCCCTAACCCTCTATTTCCTCATTTGTATAATAAGGAGAATTATCTGTTGCAACAATTATAAAAGATAATACATATAAAGTGTGGGGCACAAAGTCTGTCACCTACTCAAACTTGGTATATGCTGCTGTTTCATTACTATCAAGCTACATGGGCATTAATATGTGTTACTTAATTAAACTGTATCAAAACAACATGAGACACTCTTTGGTGGTGATGAAGATGCAGTAACTATACATCAAAAGCATAAATGTTAATATCATTGTAACCACATTACCTAGACTATAATAAAACGTTTAAATTGTTTTCCCCTTTGTGAATTCATAATTCTCCTGAAGGGGTAAATAAAGTTTATCAGCTTTCTTTACTATATGGTACAGAAGCTCATTTGCTATTTCAGAAATATTTGGGGTACCTGGCAGATTTAAAAACTGGTTCAAGAATCCTTGATTTAGACAGGCCAACCCTTACTGCAGTCCCTGCATGCTGTCACTCCATTTCATAGACAGGAGGTAGTCATTACTGGAAGCCATGCTGCCATTCACAACTTATCATGTGACCTGAGGGGAGTTTTTCACCTGCTCTTGGTTTGTTTCATCATCTTTATGTTAGATAAAGACATTACCCCACCATCATTGCTTATCATGAAGGTTCGGTAAGATAACACAAGCAAAGTGGTCTCACGGGCACATAAGAAGTTCTGAGTGTTAGATGTTGTCCTTTTTCAAAAGAAAATCACTGTAAATCGTGATTTTTCAGAGACATTAAAATAGGCGAAACATACATCTTAAAAATTAATAAATTCAGTGATATTTCCACATAGAGATGAGGAATCAATGGGGTACAAAACTTTCATAACATGTCCAAGATTGCTCAGTCAGGATAGCTGTTGTTCTTATATAATCTTCTTCCATAGTTTCCCTCTGCACAGGATAGAATTATGCCCAGCTCTCAGGGGCAGCACAGAACAATAGAATGAACACAAAACCAGGAGTCCCCAGCTGCTGTGGCCTCCACCTCTACTTAGCTTTAAAGACCTTTAACAGTTTCCTCTCTGAGCTCAGCTTTCCTCGTTGCTAAGTGGCAGGTCTCAGATGGGGTCAGCGAGCTCCTTCAGGTTCCTGCCACCTCTCAGCTTCAGCGATTTACCTACACATCTCTGCAACACATTTGATTTCAGCTCCGAGCTGCAGCTAGGGTTGGTGTCACAGAGAGACAAGGAGCATATCGAAGCAGACTACACGGTTCCTTGAGCTAAGTGGCTTATCTAAGGGCTGTTGAAAGAGAGCGAGCAATGACTTTAGGAAAGGACTTGACATGCTTGAAGGGTTGACGGGATTCAGTTGGAAAGAACAGTTTAATTTATTGAAATAACCAGGGCTTTATTCTCTTTAAGGTACGAAATAATCACTTTGACTGAATACTTGGCAGCCACTTGTTCTGGTGCCACTTGCACAGGACATTTTCCATTGTCGTGACCATGGCCATGCTTGCACAGAGCCAGAGCCTGGGCTCCCCAAACTCCCTGCCCACGAGGACAACTATCATTGATTTCTGATGAATAAACTCCTCATATTTGAAAGGTACCAATGAAGGATTGTGTAAGCTGCTGGACAATTATGGCAGTTGATAATGATAAATATCTCTTTGTGCAAAATAGCACCCTTTGAAAATACAATATCTTCAGAGGGGGGCACGATGGAGCATTCTTGTTTTAATCAATACTCTCAGCTCCCCAGAATTCAGGCCAATAGAGTTTCTCAGTCTCACTAACATCACCTTAAGCAACCAGGCTGCCGTCTTTGCTTTTAAACGGCTTGTTTTGCTTGTTTTAAAGATTGTTTTAACAGTTGCTCTATTATTAAACTAACTGTAGCTCTGTGAGAACAATACCGCTGAAATACAAAAGGAAGCCAAAGACTTGGCTTAATTTAAACAGCTGTAATTTCTCTGGACAATAAAAAACGCTGTTAAGGCTTCTAATGAGCATCTGTAAGGCCTTAATGAAATGAAAATTTAAAAACGTTAAAACAAGAAAGTGTTTCCTCTGGATTTAACTTTTCATTACCACAGCCCTCCTTTCTTCCTTTTGAGCAGAGGCTAGTTCGTGCCTTTCATGAGGACAGATCACCCAGAAACCCCACGCCCAAGCCTGAGAATCCCTAAGGATGGTGGAGGGGGGTTGGAGTGATAGTTTATCAGGTAGGGCACTGGCCTTACATGCAGCCAACCCGGATTCAATCCCTGGCACCACATATGGTCCCCAACCATTGCTAAGAGTGACCTCTGAGAATAGAGCCAGGAATATGCCTTGAGCACAGCTGGGGTATCTAATGACCCCCCCCCAAAGAGAATAGTAGAAGAGGAGTGTGGCAGCTCCTTTATAAAGTGAGATGCTCACTACCAATGTGCCTTGAAAAAGGTTTCACTGCCTGTAAAATGTGGACGCCAACATCTCAGGGGTTTCAGTTCTGACTGGTCCAAGCAATCCATGTCAACTACCAAGAACACCACCTGGCTGGATAAATTGCGGTGGGGGTATGCTGTGTGGGGTTCTCAAAGGGTAGCGAGCCATATACCTACGTTTATAAAGCTGACATTGAGTTCCTTGGCTGTGTACCCCCTCTGGAGATTTCGTCGGGCATACACATCGTAGTCACGGACAATTCTGGTGATAATGTCTGATGTTGAGATTCCTTCGGTTCTCTGGGTCGGAACAAACATTCCTGTGTACATTGGACAGAGGAGAGAAGAGGGAAAATGCAAGAGGCTTGAGATGACCTTTTCCTTTAGTGTAGGCAACCTCTTCAAAATCAAGTTTCAGCTCCAGGCTACACATGGGCTGGCCCCACCTGACATTTCCAGCTGAGCTCTGTAACTTCCCTCCAGTCATGAGCACGAAGTGCACAGTCATCCTAGCCCCTTGGCAAACTTGCCCAGTTCTCAGTGTCTGCTTAACCTAGTTCTTTCCTTTTTGCTCTGGCTCCCTCTTCCTGCCCACATCAGCCGCAGAGTTTCTCACATACTGCTGAGTCAAGATTCAGTACTGTGCTTCTGCAAAGTTTTCCCTGACACCACTGGGCAGAATCCACAGCATTAATCCTATGAACACGTCTACCATTAACAAAAGTCATTAAAATATTTGTCTCCTTGTCGAAAGAAGGTGTCTCAAAAGCACAGATCATGCCTTGATTATCTTTGCACCCCTAAGGCCTAGCTCAGTTACCATGTCCCACTTGGAAGGTGCTCAATAAATGCTAAACTAGAAAGTGAATGGAGAATAACATGTGAGTCAATGAATTAGTCAGATCACATCAACGCCCCTTCTTCCTCCATGAGTCTTGCATTATGTTCTACCAAAGGAAAAGAAGAAAAAGTGTACTATTTTTGTCCCCTCTGATCTAAAGCCATGTCTGCGGGGTACCAGATGACTTTATCCTTTAAAAAAAGTCTACTCTGGATGGTGGAATCACCATTCAAAGCTGGAATACATGAGACTGAGTAAAAATAAATAAGCACAAAAGATGCCAAATAGGAAGAGAACTTCATTGAAGTCTATAAAACTATAGTTGGATGTACCTAGAGGGCTGAAAAAAGGTCATAAAAGTTATTAGAGGCAAGCCTCTGGCTTATGCTTATACTTCTTTTTTCTTGGAAAATACCCATTTACTTTTGTTTTGGGTTTTGGGACACACCCAACAGTGTTAAGGGCTTACACCTGGCTCTATGCTCAGAAATCACTCCTGGCAGGACTTAGGGGACCATATGCAATGCCAGGGATTCAACTGGGTCAGTCTCATATAAGGCAAGTCCTACTTGCTGTACTATTGTTCTGGTCCTATGCTCATACTACTGTGACTAACTAAAATGAGTGAGATGTTAGCAATTATGATCTTGCTGGTTTATTAGATTATGACCACTAGGGCAGTCGTGAAACACAGGATGGCATGATAATGATAGTCTGGGAAGAAGCTTCCAGATGTGAGAAAGTTTCTGAAGTCTCAGTAGGCAGCTTCTGTAACGTCAGCCTCTTCAAATGAGAGATGCATGATTGCCAAGGCGACCTGGGTCTCATCTTTATCAATGCCCTCTCCTTCATTCCTCCTATTCATTATGCTTCCTAAATGTCCCTCCAATTTACCTACTTTTCTCTATCCTCTATCTAAGGTAGTGTTTCCCAAAGTGAGTGATTCTGGCCCATACTGGAACAATCTGAGGTGGGGGAGGGGTAGAAACCTTGGATGCAATTCTAGGGTGGCCACTTTCCATTTGTTCAATTAAAGAAGAAAGATTTCCAGGGTGGGGGGGGGGGAACTGAGTAATTTTTTTCCTGAAAGGGTCCAAGTGAGTTTGTCAACTTCTGGTCTAAAACCAGTAAAATACCACCTTGATCAAAGGTTACAAAGGTTACAGAAAGAGCCTCAAGACCAATATCTAGGTATTTGGGGTGTGTGTGTGTGTGTGTGTGTGTGTGTGTGTGTGTGTGTGTGTTCACCTAAATCCACTTTCCACACAGATGCTCAGAGCTGCCTTTCAAAATGCCAGCAGATGCTTGCTAATACCCTTCAGTGGCTTTCTAGTTTTCTCTGTATTTAGATGTAAACCCTTACCTTGGCTTGACATCTGCGTGCATTGTCTTGTTCATGTGCTTTTCTTGTCTCATCTCATTCCCTCTCCTGAATTCATTCCCTAAGCCCCTCCCCACTTCCCTGCACGACTACAGGGGGCGCCATTTGCATTATATTGTGTGGGGCTGGGTAACAGGCCCACCCTGCCTCCGTCCTATCAAACTGAACTTCAGTTTCTTGGCTGCCCTTTCCCTTCATTCGGCCATAAACATCCTCTTAGACTGGTTAATGAAATCATTCAGAGACTTCCACCTTCAGGGGCACCTTCTCAAGGAAATCTGTTTCCACCCTTGATTGTGACTTCCAGTTATTCCCTCCCGGGGTCACTGCTCTTTTCCTTCACACATGCTGGGTGGTTTGTTTTTGTTTTTGTTTTTGTTTTATAAAACCACTTGTCTAATAACGGCCTTTCCAACTGCACATGACCTGCGCTTGTTTATCTTCTCCACACTGGGCCACAAGTGGTACTTTAGAAATATATAAAGAATGAACAACTGCATAAAATTTTATTTTGTTGTTGTTGTCATTTTGTTTGAGGGGCTACACCAGGCAGTGCTGGGAGAGTTTCTTCTGGTGGTGCTCAAGAGGGGACCAGGTGGTGCCAGGACTGGAACACAGGGTCCCACATCAAAGCATGCCATCAAGCCCTTTGAACCATACCCCTAAGGAAATGTTGTTTTGCCTGTGCTCTTCCCAGTCTCAGGCCACTCAGTCGTATTGACACTGCAGTTTTCAGTGGGTGAACCCTCTTGGGCATCCTTTAGAGCTTTCTTGGGAGATTATCTGCTCACAGTATCAGCAGCAGCAGCAGGGGGCGCTGCTGATGTCAGACAATTACATCCAGCTTCCAATATTCTGTGATTCAGAGACTTGGGGACTGCCTCTAAGCCAGCAACTTCTTTTACCGCTTTCTAAGAAAGTGGATTCAAACGCAGTAAACCAAATGGAAGGCAGAGGACGTGGACATTTCAACACACAGCTTGAACATCCTAGTGACCCAGCTCTTCAGGGGACTCTGGTGAGAACCCCAAGAGGTTCCAAGTTGGGGGACCAGAGATAACATTGCCACATTGCTCAGAGCCACAGGCAACTTTGAGGTTGGGAATGGACCCCATCTTTCAGCAGGTAGGCATGTCACCCACACTCCTGCTTGCTGGAATGTGAAAAAGATTTTCTTGCTATGAAGGGACTTTAGCAAGTTATTTAGAAATGGGATATTAAACCCCACTTTCTTGGAAGCCTTAGGGTGGGTGATACTGAGTAACTGAAAGTGGAGTTGGGGTTTGGGAAAGATTTGCTTTGGCTGGTAGGGAGGTAGGTGTCTGAAAGAAGAGCCAAGCCCTCTGCTGACATAATGAGGCACCCGGCTTCCTACAAATCCTAATTATTGCTCTGCTAAAAATATTCGGTAATGAGCATGATCACAGAACCTTTTTTATCATGCTTTTCAGAATTGTGGCGTTTGGATCTGGAGCTATTTTAAGCAGCAGCACAGCACATGTTAATGAAGGAAACTTTCAACAGTAGTAGGCAATCTTAGAACGATGGCGAGCAATGTGGACCTTACAGTCAAGTGCATTTTAGCTCCATCTTTTCATCCAGTTCTGCTGGAGGATTTTGACATCTCCTTCTGACAAGCAGAATATGCTCTAAAGCTTAATTCATGCCCTTGTTATCGCTGGGCTCATTTAAAGTCATTTTTGACTTTCAAAATAAATCACTGAGGAAAGTATAAAAGCCAAACGGGGCTGCCTGGAGGCCATTTCTGAGTATTGTTCTCTCACAATGAGTACTCTGGCCTTCTTGGTCTGGGCCCCAAACAGCTCTCTCCTGTGGCTCTTGCTTGGTGAGAAATCAGCGGAAAAGATCAGTAGGCCACACGAAAGAGTCCCTGTGCGTGTGACAAGTCACGCAGTCTTAGGTCAGTATTCCAAGGGCAAGTCAATTCCACATGACCATTCTGCTTAGATATGGGAATGATGAAATGGTGGGGGCAACACAGGCCAAGTTCCACTGACCCCCCCCTCCCAGGAACGGAGGAAGATGGCTCTGATGGGAAGTAATGGGGAGGCCAAGAGTGTCTAAAAGAGGAGTGATGGGCATAAGCATTGTACCAGGAGGCAGACTGAGTTAGAGTTCTGGATTTGGTGACTTGAAGGTCATCAGAGGACTAAGGAATGGTGCGCCAGAGGTCAAAGTGCAGGGGGCTGAGAAATATCAGGGATGTGCTCCTGCAGGTTGCTGGAGGCGAGCACAGAGCGAGGCAGAGGGAAGGAGTTGGCTGGCTTGTTTTTGTCCTTCTACATGTGGCTAAGCTGAGAAGATAATACTAGAAAGGAAGAACTTTGCAGAGCAGAGAGAGAAAGAAGGAAAGAAGCACTCCAAATGGAAGAAGATGCATAAAACTATAGGGGGAAATGGGCCCCTCTTAACTCTGGACACAAGAGTGGATGAAAGGATCAAAGATTATGGAGAAGTGAGGGTGGGATGGGAAGAGGCGGTGGTGAAAGGAACACTGGGAATCCCCCGGGAACGAAACTGCAGATTGGCTGTGCTGTTGCCTCAACAGCTGTTTCCCGAAGTCAGCAGCAACCTGGAACAGGGACACAGGGACTGATAACAAAAAAAGTCCAGATCAGGGAACTGACAATGGAAAGGAAACTTCTCTTCCCGATCCCCCAACAACTCCTGGGGTTTGACCAGAATCTGTGATCCTAACAGAAATACTCAGTGACAAACGGAACAACTTCCAAAGGTCGGGCCTCATGTCTCTCTTGTTCGAAACTACCATTTGGATAAGAAGACGGTCCTGTTGTGCACGTGCATGCATTCATTCACTTGTTGGCCTCCACCCGTGAGGTCTGAGGCTGTTGTTCTCTTGCTAAAAAGCTGGGGACTGGAGCAATAGCACAGAGGGTAGGGCGTTTGCCTTGCACCTGGGTTCGATTCCCAGAATCTCAAGTGGTCCCCCGAGCACCACCAGGAGTAATTCCTGAGTGCAAAGCCAGGAGTGACCCTGAGCATCGCCGGGTGTGACCCAAAAAGCAAAAAAAAAAAAAAAAGCCTAGTTCTGCTGATGAGGAGTCCAGATTGTTCATTGGCCAACTACATTTTTTGGGAGAAGCCTTCCTGAGAGTGACAATTTCATTTGTTCAGGAGCATAAAAATGACTTTTGAACCCTAGGATCCCCGGGGTTGGGTTTGATGAACCCTAAAATCTAGCCTGAAATAAGAAGTTGAGTACTTTATCATATCAGACCCTTGTGAACAGAGGCTAATAGAACCTTGTTTCTCAATCTTTCTCTGACTGTATCTCCTTCCTGCGGTCCCCTTCTCCTATTGGTTGGACCCCTAGTTTCATGCTGTGTTCCCACCATTTATGCGATTATGCATAGCCCCTTTCGACTATCCTGGGTGCCCCCAAACGAACAACGTAGTTGTAGAGTCTCTGCACACATGGGAAACTTGAATCCCTGTCCATGAAAGTCTCTTAGGAAACCTGGTCATTACAAGGCAGGGGAGCACAGAACTCACCTGCTTCCTTTATATGTTTGTAAACATCATCGGAGCCAGCAGAAGAATAAGGAATGTCATCATGGGCCACAAAGTCAATCTGTTGGGAAGAGAGAAAAGAGGCTGTCGTCATGGGACTGACATGCAGATCTGTGGTTTTAAAATGCGTTTTGAAGTAAAGTAGCTGTAACAAAGTGTTTGAAATAAAATGTTTATAATGTGAATTTAAATCCGTTACTGCAAGTTACTTCTGTCTCCTTTCCCTACAAGAGACTGGACTCTACACTGGTGTCTCTCCTTGCTTGGTTCTCCTTCTCCTACCTCTGAGAGTAAGTTTTCTTGGCCTTTACCAAGAACTTCTGCCTCTAAACTTTCTCCTTCGGAGAATTTATTCACTTCAGAGTTCTAGTTGCCCTGCTATGAAGAAAAATCGAAATCTCCATTTCTTGTCCAAATGATGGCAATTGGCCCTCATACTTAAGTCACATTTTTATACTGTGGAAATGAGTTCCTATCTCTCTTCTCACTTGGTTAATCTGCCTGGAATTCATTTCATCCTAAAAATTTGGTGCTTTTTTCCAATGGCACTTCCAGCTCCTCAGTTTACCAAGATCCAAACACATTGGAATTAGCCTACTTATACCCCACTTCTTTCAGTCTCCATGGCGCATATGCCATTAGCACATATGTTCCTTTGGTGTGTGTGTGTGTGTCTGTGATCACGTGTGTGGTATGTGTGCATGTAAGTGTGCATGAATACGTGCATCCATCGTTGCCTCTCTATTGCTACTTCATCAAATCCAGGGTACTGTTAGGTGTATCAACAATGCCAATTTGCACCTGACCTTTCTCACTGTAAGTTCACTCCTTCCAAGAGGGGAGCAGGTCCTTATTAACAGAATTTTCTTTCTATAATCTGCACTTCTACTGATTCTCACTGATTTCCTATTTCCTACTACACCAAGTGAAAACTTGTCTAACAATTAAAGCCCTTTATTTTGTTGTTCTTATGGGGGTAGTGGGTAATACTCTGCAATGCTCAGGGTACTCATTATGTGGTTCATGGATGGAACTTGAGCCTCCACTGTGTAAAGCATGTGCTCAACTGACTTAGCTATCTTTTGGGCCATAAAAGCCCTTTATAACAATGCTTCACACCATAGCAAGAAGTAGATTAGTAGTTTGAATTGTCTGGCTATGATTTCTGCCCTGCTACTTCCTAGCTATATAATTTATAAACTAGCAGTGGTAAGAATTAAGTCTTACCACTTTTCTGTCTCTTTTTGTTTGTTTTGGGGCCACATCCATCAGTGCTCACCAGTCACCCCTGGTGGTATTCATGGGACCATATGCATGCAGTACAAGGGATCCAACTTGGCTGCATGAGAGGCAAACACCCTACCCTCTTCTCCAGTCCCCAAATCAAGGTTATTCTAACTCAGTATTAGTGACATTTGCAGCTGGAACATTCTTTGGTGGTGTTGATACATGTGTTCAGTGCCCTGTGCGTGGCTTAGTAGCACCCCTGTCCTTTACCCACTAGATGCCAGTAGCACACCTAGTTGTGACAACCACAAATGTTTCCAGATACCACCAAGTATCCCTTGGGGCAAAAACATCCCCATATGAGAATCAGTGGATCAAGTGACATAATTATGTAAAAGTGCTTAAAAATAATGACTGTCATATAGTTAAATACTCCATAAGCACTTATTATTATTATCGTGGTGCTTATTAATTCTGTCCTAAACACTGAAAATCAGTTCCACTGCTCTCTAACATATAAGCACACCAACTCAGGGCTGCCATGAGATTAAATGTAATTCACATAAGAGCAGAGGACTCAGCACAGAGTTGGGCACATGGCATCTATGAAGTGGCAGCCATCATTATTATCATTAGTATCCCCACAATGGCTCACACAAGTTGAATACATAATAGATGCTTAGTTAAAATGTGTTAGTGATTGCTGGAAGTAAATCTTATTGTAGTTTTTCCTTTCCCTTTTTATTCTCGCTGGGAAATTGTCTCCTCTGCGATTACCCATGCACATTTATCAGTGTTCTCTATTCTCTTCTGCATCGTGATTTTAAAAATAGAAAAGAAAACTCTTAGAACAGCTTAATCTTATTTTTTTGTACTGCTTATAAAAGGAAAGAATAGCTCCTAATGTGGGACTGGTAGGGAGATACAAAGCACATAATTTGATGCAGATCAAAAGAATTTCTTGTGTTTTGTACTAATAAAAATCTTATATCAGTAGGAGCTTCAGGGTCACAAAATCAGAGTACTTAAAGGCTGACCCTTGCTCTTCTGAATAAGATATGTGTTCATTTCTTCCGTGAAAAATGATACCTGGGAATCTATAAGCACTAATGATGATTGTGGTGGCAACAACTATGACACTGGAGGTCTTGCTATGGGCCAGTCAGTGTTTCAAAGGTTAGGTCATCTGCTCAGAGCCTCAAAATAGCCCCATGAGAAAACTATCGCACTTGCTATTTAGGTAAATGAGTTCACTCAGGTTCACTGTTGGGGATAAAGGCTGCCTTTGAACTTAGTAGTCTGATTCTAAACTCCACACACAGGAACTCAGAGCAGATCACCCCCTAGGCTTGGGTAGAAGAGAGTTACTACAGCAAGTGATATCACATGGTCATTCCTGAAGTTGTCTCTTTTCGAAATGGAAGAGACTGGGCTTTCTGTGTATTTTCTATAAAGTCTAAATCCATAGTTCTGTGATGTAAAGAAGTTGGAAGATGTTTGGTCTATAGTCTACTTTCAGCATGCTTCTCCCATCCTGGGAGAATCCTCCCAACACCCTTTATTTGGTGCTCCCTTCTCTATCTGAGCTCCCTTTTCCCTTAGCATGTGTGGCTGGCCTCTAAGCCATGGAGCAAAATTCCTGGTACTAATCTCAGCCACTCTTGGGTGTTAGTCTCCTGTTTTGTTACTTTATGTTCCCCAGATGAATGCAATCTTTCTATGTCTATCCCTCTCTTTCTGACTTATTTCGCTAACATGATACTTTCCATGTAGTACCGCTTGTATGTAAATTTCATGACTACATCTTTTCTCAATGTCTCTTTTGCAAACCACAACACCCAAAAGGAAAGAGAGAACAAGAGGGAATTCCTGCCACAGAGGCAGAGTGGGATGGGGGGGATGGGGGATGGGAGGGATACTGGGATCCGTGGTGGTGGAAAATGGGCACTGGTGGAGGGATGGGTATTTGATCATTATATAATTGAAACCCAAGCACAAAAATTTGTAAGTCTACAACTGTACCTCATGGTGTCTCACTAATAAAAATTAAGGTAAAAAGGTAAAGGTAAAGGCCCTCCCGTTGATCGTCGATTTGCTCGAGCGGGCCCAGTAACGTCTCCATTGGAGACTTTGTTGTTACTGTGTCTGGCATATCGAATACTCTCGGTAGCTTGCGGGGCTCTTAAAAAATTTTAAAAAATAAAAAGAACTGAGTAAAAAAAAAGAAGCTGGAAGATGAATTACCTTGTGTTTTTCAAGAAACTCTGGGGTAAGTGTCCAGGGAGCATCTCTAATCACTTCATCCACATAGCGACAGTGTCTGAGAGCTTCATATCTCTCTGCTTCGTTCATCACAGTGAAGCCTTTGAATTTGTGGGTGAGCTCATCACTGCAAACTGAAATAGGAAAATGCATTCAGTGCTGCTAACTGGCCCAGGCCCTACCCACAGTCACCCTGCTACAGACATGGCTTCTTCAGTAAGACAAAAGGAGCTCAGTCTTGCAAGGTTCTTGACATAATCAAACTCCGTTTTTTTTAAACAGGAACAAAGGATCAGGAAAGCGAAGCAAGCTAAATCCAGCAGCAATTCAGACTTTCATTTTAGTGCTAATTACAATTGCATTCTCCACTGCAGCTTCTATGAAAAAAAATATTCCCCATATTCCCCATTATGACTCTCGTATCTTTTTGTTTCCCTTTCTTCCCCTTCAGGATTAAAATGGTCAACTGAACAGACAGTGAAGTAAGAGAGAAGTAGAGGAACCAAGAGGTGAATGATAGGAGTGATAGCACAGCAGGTGGGGCATTTGCCTTGCACGTGGCTGACCCGGGTTCGATTCCCAGCATCCCATATGGTCCCCTGAGCACCGCCAGGAGTAATTCCTGAGTGCAGAGCCAGGAGTCACCCCTGTGCATCGCCAGGTGTGACCCAAAAAGAAAAAAAAAAGAGGTGAATGATGGTTGAAACAATCAGCTCCAATTCTGTACTCAGAGTTGTAATCAAATGACTGTACTCAGTAATCCATGTGTAGCCATGTACACACACACACACACACACACACACACACACACATGCTCACACACATTCTGGTCTCTCTGACTGAGATGCAGTCACTACCCACCAGGCTATGGAATCAAGAGGAGATAGTAATAAAGATAAGATCTAATCTAGCAGAGTTCATCCTATATCACTTTTCCTTTCTAGTTCTCAGTTTCCTGGCCCTTCAAATGGAGAGAATAATAGTCTTTACTACTAGCTTTAGAAAGGATTTTTTAGGCTTCTCACAAATGCATGCATCTCTATCCTATAGACAAATATATTTATAAGAATTATTATAAGAATATTTATAAGAATTATTTTCTTATATTTCAGGAAGAAAGTCATTATGGTTACAGTTCCTGTTGGCCCACAGCAGACTACCCCAACTGCTATACAGAAAGCGTATAAGCATCACCACAACACCACCAACCATGTAGCAAGCTTGAAAATCTTCCTAAGTATCAGAATCACCTAAAGAATTTGCTCTACATGAAGAAGCTCATCCTTCTCTCCCTGGATTCAGTAAGTCAGAATGTGTCTTCAATAATTCATATGTTGAAATCGTAACCCACTATTAGAAAGCAGCCTTTGGGAGGTGCTTAGATAATAAAAGAGGAAGTTCTTATGCCCAAGAGATAGTACATGCAGCTGATCCGGGTTCAATCCCTGGTACCCAAGCCTAGCCAGGTGTAATCCCTGAGCACAGAATCATGAGTGTGCCCTGAGAACCTATGGATATGGCTCCAAGCCACCTCTTCCACCTCACAAAGATGAAATTCTTATGAATGGAATTTAATTCCTTTAAAAGGGGGCTTCAGGGACGGAACAATAGTATAGTGGGTAGGCTGTTTGCTTTGCACGTGGCTGAACTGGATTTGACACCAGTATCCCATATGGGCTGGAGCGATAGCATAGCGGTAGGGCGTTTGCCTTGCACGCAGCCAACATGGCCAACCCAAGTTCGATTCCTCCGCCCCTCTCGGAGAGCCCGGCAAGCTGCCGAGAGTATCTCGCCAGCTCCCCGTTACGTATTCGACATGCCAAACACAGTAACAACAAAGTCTCCAATGGAGACGTTACTGGGCCCGCTCGAGCAAATCGATGATCAATGGAAGGGCCTTTACTTTTTTTTATCCCATATGGTACGCCAAGCACTGCCAGGAGTAATTCCTGAGTGCAGAGCCAGGAGTACCCCTGAGGACCGCCAGGTGTGACCCCCAAACCAAAAATAAATAAAAAATAAAAAGGGGGCTTCTGGGGCCTCTCTAACCCCTTTCACCATGTGAGGACACAGAAAGAAGATAGCTATGAAAAAGAAAAAGTGAGAGCTCTCATCAGGAGGAAGCTATGCTTGTGCCTTCATCTTGGATGGGTGTCCTTCAGAATTTTTAGAGAGGAACTGTTGTTTTTAAACTACCCAGTCTGTGGTAGCTCATTACAGTAACTCAAACAATCTAAGACAGTGGATTTGGACTGGGGCCCAGACAATTCTATTTTTGACAAGTTTCAAAGATGATTCTGATGTGTACAACATTTGAAATACCCTGAAGCCTATTAAGAATATTCTGAGTTGGGTCTGGTTTTGAACCCACTATCACCCTCAGTGTGGGTAGGACAATTGTGATTATGTGATATATTGATTTACTGACTGTATAAATCTGTGACTCCCTAGATAGAAATTATTTATGGGTCATGTTTACAGTTTAAATAATTGATCTGAGACTTTTCAAATGTTCCTTTAGGATTTTATCAAAATATAACCCTAAGGTTTATATTGAGGGGGCTGAGTGACAGTACAGTGGGAAAGGAACTTTCCTTGTTTGTGGCTAACTCTGGTTCAATCCCTGACATCCCATATGTACCCCCAAGTTCACCAGGTGTGATCCCTGGGAGCAGAGCCTGGAGTAAGCCCTGATGGGGATGGTAAAAAAGAGATTCAGATTGAGCAGAAATGGATTTCAGATGCATCAATTTTCTGTTTCAGGCAATACAAAACTAGTCTGAGCCTTCTCTATTTTTAACCTCCTACCTGAGTAATATAATAGGGTATAACTTCTAGATGGCCAAGATAATGGCTTCCTGACAGAGTACAAATAAAATTAACATCTTGTTTATGCCAATAAGGGTCCTATTTTCATATCCCACAAGTGACCTCAAGAAACAGCTGAACATGCTGACCAATTATTGTCTAAACATTAATTACACCCAAAGCAGCACTGTTGTTCTTGAGTCTTGGCAAATACACTCTCCTAACCAGATGGAGAACTCTAAGCCATGGTGTTCCACGGATGAATTCACTAAATGGAGAGTCCATGCAGCAACTAACCTATTCTGATGTCTCACTGTGTTCAAAGTGAAATATTACCAGTAGACTACAGAAGAGAAACTATAGTATCGAGCCTCAACTGAGAAGCCCAACAGAACTGGGTTCTCTTCCAAGTCTGCTGCTTATTACTGGGAACGTTATCTCCAATTCCTTACACTCAGTTGTCTGTTTGTAAAACTGGTTGGAATTCTGAGACTGGAACGTGATCATCTGTACATACAGAGTAATGAATGTTCTAAAACCTGTGCCATTCACTGATGTTACTAGGAATATAGGACCATTTCCAGAGAGACTGTGATTGAGGCTCTGCCTTTTTGCTGCCCTTCATTTTCTAAGTAGAGGTCCAGCCACTTGACGCAAACTCTACTGTAGAAGCTGGGAATTCAAGCTGCAGATAGACTGTGTTCTGTCCCAGCTGCAGCTTTTCCAAAACCAGAGCTCCTCGAGAATTCTCTAAGGAAGAGGGCAAAGAGAAATGTTTTCTCCAAACAAGCAAAGAAGGGTCTATGAAGGCACCAGCAGCAGGAACCAGCAGCAGGGGCTCCAGAGGGTCAAGGACATGGTGCTGTGGACTTGCTTCGAGTGCCAGATATTTACTCCATTTGAGTGCTGCTGGGAGCTCAGATGATGAGGGCAAGCAAACACAGTGCTGAGCTGGCCTGGATGCCCCATCCTGTTTCTGCAAATATCTAAGAATTGGCTTTGATTCCAGGTAGGTTAGGAGCTCCCAACAAGGATTGAGACTGGATTTCCTACAGGGAAGGCAGAAGACAGTTTTATATGGAGATTTGGTTTTAACTAGAACACAAAATTGAGTAGGAGCCCAGGTTGATAGGGGTGTATTTTGTGTCTCCAATAAATAGTAAGAGTAGGATTGTTTTTAGTGGGTTTTTAACCCCCCTCTGTGAAGAAGTAGATTATGACTTGTGCTCTTTGAAAATTGTGTTTAGGGAAAAGAAACTTTTTGATAATAATAAAATTGAGTTGCTTGACTTGTTTTAAAATGACATAAACTTTTAAATTAACATTTAAAGAGAATGTGATGATCCTTTATGATGAGACCTAGTTTTAATTCACAAAAATAATGATAACAAAGATACACTTGTGGGGGGAAAATGACAAATTATCACGAGTTCCATGATTCAAAATGAGAAATGCAGATATCAGATAATAGTCCAAAACTCTTGGTAGTATGTGAGATCTATTATAGCCTAAGAAGTAGACTAGTATGTCTATTTATCAATTTATGATCTTTGAATCAACTATTTCTGCCCAAACATAAAGTAGAAATACCAAGTCCTGCCCTGACCAGAGTACGTTCATGGCTGAAGTCCTTTCTCTCATTACCCAGTGGAATTTCTACAACCACCAACCTGCAGATGTAAGTGGGGAGGGAATGGTAAGGCACAATTAGTATAGTAGCTTCATTCTTTCAACTCATCATAAGCCCTGTATTTGATAGCTATACATACACCACATCAAGAGCCAGCCTTTCAACTACCAATACAGAATAACTATTCATAAAGGGCTCCTAAACTTTTCCTCACCATGGAACTGTCTGCTATTAAGTTGGTTTGTGTTACTTGAAAAAGAGATAATAGGGCTGGAATAATAGAACAGCAGGTAGGGTGCTTGTCTTACACATGGCCAACCTGGATTCAATCCCGGGCACCCCATATGGTCCCCTGAGCCTGCCAGGAGAAATCACTGAGTGCAGAGCAAGGAGTAACTCATGAGCATCACTGGGTGTGGCCCAAAAGAAAAGAAAAGAAAAAATTCTCTTCTCTATTCTTACTACATGGGGAAAGTATGACTACAATATCAAATAAATAAATTATTTCTAATTTTTATATTGGATTTGACCTTATCACTACCAAAAGCTAAACATCAGTTTGATATACACACACCCAATATTTAGAGAAGAAATAACATGCCTTTTCTAATCATACTCCTTTTTCTTACAAGTATCATATAATTTTATCTGTAAATTACATTGCATTTCTATAAATTAAACACAATGATTCTATTT